CAGGGGGAGGGGAAGGGGCAGGGCTTGGGGGATGGGGCGGGAGGCCGGGCGTGCTGCCCCTGGGGTGGGGGAGCCACGGGCTGGGGCCCCCAGCACCTCCCCGGGACCTGCGGGGCTCTGCCTGCGGCACCTGCACCCTGCACTTCATATATGCACCCCCGCACCCTATAGGCATGCCCCTGCACTTTATATGCACACCCCACAGCTTATGTGCATGTCCCTGCACTTTATATGTGCACACCCCTGAACTTTATATGTGCACCCCACAACTTATATGCATGCCCTGCACTTTATATGCACACCCCACACCTTATATGCTCATCCTGCACTTTATATGCACACCCCCACAGCTTATATCCACTCCCCACAGCTTATATGTACACCCCACAGCTTGTATGCGCTCCCTGCACTTTATATGTACTCCCCGCACTTTATATGCACACCCCACAGTGTATATGCGCTCCCCACACATTATGCACTCCTGCACCTTTTATGTGCGCCCCGTCCCTGGCTCCACCAAGTCCTGGGACTTTCCAGGCAGACTCCTGGCTCTGGCTAGACAAGCCCTGAGCGGTGTCCATCGGCTCCCTCACCTCATTTGGGGGCAGCAAGTTCCCTGCTTTGTGTCCCCTTGCAGCTCCCTTGTTAGGACCGGCAACTTCTCCTGTTTTCTTGTTATTTGTCCTTTGTATTGAGTTGTACCCTCATTAGGGACCTCTCTGATTAAGGGGGCATCCAGAGGTTTCTCATGGGCATCAGCCCAGAGTTTCCTTGGCCAAGCCAGTAGGCCTGGGAGGTGTACGTCATCCCATTTGTAAGGTGTTTCAGGGGTGTTGACTCTGAAACCTAAAGATGGCACGTTCAAACCCACCAGTGTTAACTGGTTTGGCAGAAACGTTCGACCAGTGTGCTTCCCCCACCATCTCGTCCCGCCTCTTTCCAGGTCTTGGCTGTGCCCTGCCTGGCTGCCAAAACCTCCTGGCAACTTCCTACCGAGCACTCCCATCACATCTGTACCTATTAAAATGCTCCCCGATAGACCCCAGGCCTCCTTGGGAAAAGCCAGCTCTTAGTTCCCATTAGTTTTTTGACTACAGAAAAATACGCACACCTCACAGTGCTAACATTGTGTGACACCCGATGGCACCCTCGAAAGGATCTCAAGGCACCCCAGTAGGCTGTGACATCCTGGCTGGTGCACACAAAATCCTATGGCACACTCAAAAACGAGCCCTGAACCAAATGGAGCTAAACCCCAGCATTGCTCGCACGAGGCTGCTGATGGTGCAGCTCACTTTCAGAGTCTGAGCCGTTGTGGACCTCGTGCTGGGGTGCCGCAGCACTGGGGTGCAGCTCCCCGGGGAGTGCAGGGATCTGCGACGATCCCAGATCACCCTGCGGGATGTTCCTGGGGTCCTCAGGACCGCGCTGCTGCGGCTCAGCCCCTGGCTTGTTCTTAGCACCGCGATGCTCGTTGTTGCAGGTCCCGGCGAGGCGTGAGGACGTGGCAGCCTGTTTCCTCTCCGAGCGACGGCAGAGATTCGTGGGAGCAGTACAGCCTCGCCATGCGGGAGAATTACGATGTCCTGATGGCCCTGGGTAAAGCACTGTCCTCTCCTCCTGCGTGTACCCCCATGCTGACGGCGCCTGTGTCTGTGCACCCCAAGCCCTGGGGGCTGTCACCCAGCACCGTCTCTGCCTAAGCCCCCCAGGGAATTGAGGGTCCACCATCTCGGAGAACAAGCCCTGCCCATTCCAGGTGACAGCACATCTGGGCTGAGGCAGCACTTTGCACTGGGATGGGTCACGGCAGCTTCTGTGCGGCCACAAAGCCCCACTGCTTTGGCTGGAATTTGGGGAGGGGGGGTGCATGGGGGGACTTGAGTGGGAATCTGGCCCAGGCAAGGAAATTAGCACCCTGATGTGACCTGCCTTGCAACAGACAGGCCTTTGGTCTGGGTCCCGGGCAGAGAGCGTCTCTCCTAGACCACAGCATGGCACCGTCCTGGGGGAGCATTAGCTCAGCAGGCACAAAGTCCCCTTGGAGGGAGGGAGGCCGGCACAGGAGCACCTTGGAGGACTGGGGTGCTGTCTGTACTGCTGTTGCCCCCCCCAGCAAGTGCAGGCAGAGGCAGCGAGGCAGCATGCATGTGCATCAGGGCCAGTCTCTGTGTTGCGCAGGGTCCCCCATCACCAAGCCAGAGTTGGTCCCCCAGATCGAACACGCTGAAGAGCCGTGTGTCCAAGCCCAGGGGCAGGCTGAGGAACAGGAGGCCCCAGGCTGCGTCAACCCAGGTCAGTGAGACTGCAGGGCTCATGTCTTGGGGCGGTGCCCAGGGTGGAGCGGGGAGGTCTGGGAAATGCCCGGAGTCGGGTCCCAGCCTGCCATCGGTGCGATGAACTGCAGCATGGTCCTTGCTCTGTTGCCAAACTGGATCTCCCCTCCCAGCAGCAGCGGCTGCCTGGGAGATTTGGCCTCAGCTATGCTTGGCCAGGCAGATGCATCCTTTTCCCCAGGGGCAGGACCCCTCCTCCACCCCACAGGCTGCAAATGCACTCGCTGGAGAGCTGACAGTAGCACAGAAAGCAGCAGCCTGGTCCCTGGACCTGGGGGCTCAGGGGTCTGCAGGGAGTTGGATGTACTGGTGTTGACCAAAAACACCGTCACAGCTTGGGTCCCGAGTGCCAGAGAGGTTGCTTCTCTCGCCGCCTGATTCTGCGGCAGCTGCGGGCAGCTGGAAATCTCCCGGTTCACATGGTTTGCTGCCCCGATACCACAGATAAAAACCGGGATAGACAGATGGACATGCAGACAGGTGTCCATCTGGTTGAGATGCTTCCTGGAGTCTGGGGAAAGCCTGGGCTTCATTCCCTCTTTTCCTTTGGACAGGGTCCATTGTCCCCAAGCCTGAGGTTTTTCCACTGGGGGAGCAAGAGCAGCAGCAGCAGCGTGGTGGGCAACAGAGGGGTCCGGAAGAGGGAAATGGCTGCTCAGGTGAGACCCTCCCCTTCCACCAGCCAAGTGTGGGCAGAGGCGCCGGAGCCAGCTTGCCTGCATCTCCACCGACACCTCCATTTGGTGGGGAAATGCAAGCTCAGCCTCCACGACCCATTTAGCCCTAGCCCCTCCTTGCAGATGGTTAAAGGGGCTGCTTCTTTCCACCCACGGAGCCCGTGCCTGGTGGGCTGTGGCCCTCACATGACCCGCCCACCCCTGTACCCATGTTGCTGCACCCCATCATCATTGTCCTTTGCTAGCAGAGGGGCCAGAGCTGCGGGGTTTCTAGCTGGTGTCTGTGATGAAAATGCAGTGATTCCTAACCAGGGCATTGCAAGATCCTTTCAGGGGAACCATGGGGGGCTGTGCTGTGAGGTCTGCAAACACCTGCATGTGGTTTGTAAGTTCAACCCAGAGATTCAAATAGGCCTTCAGGGGCTCACAGCTCTTCTGTCCTGCCACGGTCTCTGAACTTGTTGCAGTAGAAGAATTGCTCGAGTCCAGCTGAATGCAGCCTGCCGAGCCGTGGCCTCTGGCCTGTGGGTTGGGTAATTTGTCAGCAAGGTGGTTAACTTTGCCAGCAGATGGAGGGCAGTGATTCTTCCCCCTATTCAGCACTGGGGAGGCCACATCTGGAGTGCTGTGTCCAGCTGTGGGCCCCCCACTGCAGAAAGGATGTGGACACATTGGAGAGAGTCCAGCGGAGGGCAATGAAAATGGTTGTGGGCTGTGAGACAGGACTGGTGAGGAGAGGCGGAGGGAAATGGGTTGATTTAGTCTGGAGACGAGAAGACCGAGGGGGATTGAATAGCAGCCTTCGCCTCCCTGCAGGGGGGTTGCAAAGAGGATGGAGCTGGGCTGTTCTCAGTGGGGGCAGATGGCAGGACAACGAGCAATGGGCTCAAGCTGCGTCAAGGGAAGCTGAGGTTGGATATTAGGAAAAAATGTCTCACTAGGAGGGTGGTGAAGCACTGGAAGAGGCTACCCAGAGAGGTGGTGGACTGTCCATCCTTGGAGGTGTTTGAGACCCAGCTAGAAAAGCCTTGGCTGGGATGATGTATCTGGGGCTGGTCTTGCTTTGAGCAGGGGGTTTGCACTAGATGTGACCTCCCGAGGTCCCTTCAACCCTCGTCATCTCTGACTGTAGGATTGTAATGCTGCCACCCTCCCTCCCCCTCTGCTAAATTCCCATGCCCCCTCTGCCCGCATGGCTGGATCTGACCTGGTCTGCACCTCTCCCCCCCACACGGCCAGATGGGGTTGTGCCCACCTTGGGCACCCGATCAGGATCCTGGCCAGATCTGGCCTACGGATGGACCAGGCAGTGCCCGGGGAAGAGACTGAGCACCAATGTCCCAATATTTCTCCTTAGTCCAAAAACGGGGTGCAATAAGGTGAAGAACCACCACGGTAGCAGGTCCTCCTCACTGCTCTCCTCACGCATCCCACCTCTCTGTCTGCCTCTCCCCCGACCCCGCAGGCGACTGGCTCGTCAGGAAGGTGAAGGTGGAGGAGGACGAATGGCCCACACCCCCCAGTGCCGAGGCACTGCTGTCAGGGCAGCTGCAGGGTGGCTTCCAGCCGCCGCAGACGGATCAGAGCTACCTGAGCACATGCAAGCCGGAAGAGGAGGAGTACACCAGCTACAGTGACCTGCCCGGCTTGGCTCTGCCGCCGTGGCAGCTGCCAAGCGAGACGCCGTACGGCTACCCGGCCCACGAGCGGCGTTTCGGGGACGGCAGCCCACGCCCCTTCCCCTGCGCACAGTGCGGCAAGGGCTTCGGCAAGAAGGCACACCTGACCCGGCACCAGCGCGTGCACACGGGCGAGCGCCCCTACCCCTGCGACCGCTGCGGGCGCCGCTTCAGCCAGAAGATCCACCTGGGCTCGCACCAGCGCGTGCACACGGGCGAACGCCCCTTCCCCTGCGACCACTGCGGGAGGTGCTTCCGCAAGAAGACCCACCTGCTGCGGCACCAGCGCGTGCACACCGGCGAGCGCCCCTTCCCCTGCGACTGCTGCGGGCGCCGCTTCACCCACAAGCAGCACCTGGCGCGGCACCAGCAGCTGCACGCGGCGCCGGGGGAGCCGGACGCCCCGTGTCCGCCGAAGGTGGAGCCAGACGTGGAGGCAGCCACGGTGGCTCCCGCGGTGGGGCCGAAGCCCTTCACGTGCCAGCAATGCGGGAAGAGCTTCGGCTGGAAGAAGAACCTGACGTCGCACCAGCGGCTGCACGCGGAGGGGCGGCCGTTCGTGTGCGCCGAGTGCGGGCGCGGCTTCAGCGACAAGCGGCACCTGACGGCCCACCTGCGGGGCCACATGGGGCTCAAGCCCTACGCCTGCGCCTACTGCGAGAAGAGCTTCAGCCACAAGCCCAACCTCACCATCCACCAACGCAGCCACACCGGCGAGCGCCCCTTCACCTGCCCCGATTGCGGCCGCGGCTTCGCCCACCCCCACCACCTGGTGCGGCACCGCCGCGTGCACACGGGCGAGCGCCCCTACACTTGCTCACAGTGTGGCCGCTGCTTCAGCTCCCGTCCCAACCTCATGGCCCACGCCAAGGCCCACGCCGAGCAGCGTCCACACGCCTGCGAGCAGTGCGGCCGCGGCTTCAGCCGGAAGTCCCACCTGGTGCGCCACCAGGCCGTGCACACCGGCATGCGCCCGCATGGCTGCGCCCAGTGCGGCAAGCACTTCAGCTCCAAGACCAACCTGGCGCGCCACCAGGCCGTGCACACGGGGCTGCGGCCTTACATCTGCACTCAGTGCGGGAAGAGCTTCAGCCGCAAGACCCACCTCCTCCGCCACGAGCGCACCCACTCCAGGCCCCTGCCGAGGGACGGCGGCGGTGGTGGCTGGGGGGCCCTGCCGGATCCGCTGGCCCAGCCCGCAGCCCACCTCTGAGGAACTGGCCAGCCGTGCCCGCAGCCCCTCCGCCATGCCCAGGACTCATAGCCCCCCACTTCTGCTAGCCCAGCCCTGGACGCCCATATGGGATGGTGACCTGCAGACCTCCCTCTTATTGCAACCCTGGTGGTCCCCTTCCTTTCCAGCTGTATCGCCTGTATCATCAGCTGGGCTCTGCAACCTCCTCTTCCTGCATGCGCTGCTCTGCCTGGGCCCTCCGTCCCAGGTCTGTTCGTTCCAGTATGATCCATGTGATTACATTGCAAATCTGCCCAGAAGCACGCAACACCCTGGCTACAGACTGAGCATGAACAAAGAGAGCCATGTGAAGCCGGCTCAGACCCACAAGCAGGTAAGACACGGATATGTTATCACAGCCCGCTATCTACTCCACGCCGCCTGATGCAGGGAAGTTACTTGAGAGGAGCTTCCAGCCAGCTAAGGACGTGAAACCCCAACCTGAGAGATGTCACAAAATCATCAGCTGCAAAATGAAGCCTTAAAAAACCTACAGGGCAGCTGGTCAAGCAGGGGATGGAGCGAGAACCCGTCCGTGGACCCTTGCTAAGTGTGGTTATACCTAGATGGGGAGAGCAGTGCAACCCTAGAGCCAAACTGCTGTAGCAAATCGTGCTGCAGATCAGGTTAGCAGGACATTTCTTAGCTGGGTTCTGCATGCCTTAGCCACGGACCCTGCAAATCCTGCTCTAGCCTGTCTCCTGTTCAAGCCGATTTATAGGACCCCAGAGAGGAGGACAGACCCTGTGTCGGGGAGTCACTGTTCTGCACCCCAGAAGCGGCACATGAAGGGACCTACAGTCATGATCTGAATGGGAGGGGAGCATGCTCTCTCCACATCTGAATGTCCGTGTTGCTCTCTAAGCCCGTAGCCTTGTCAGTGCCATGTTTCCTGGGTGTTTCCACCCTCGCGTACAGCTTGGGGGTGTCTGAAGAGACCTCCAGGATGGGGCAGTCAGGACGATAGCCGAGCCCTGTCTAACGAAGTCGTCGCTGTTCTCCTTGGCTGGATGAAGGACCCCGCTAAAGGTCAGATGCTGTTTGCACTGTTAGGTGCCTGCGTGTGATCCTCTTCCAGCCCGCTCGAGTCCACCAAAGCAGCTGATGCAAAAGGTGGGTGGGTTCTTGCTGTGAAGGGTCAGAGGATGGTGCGTTACAAAAGCGGACGCGCTCGCGGATTTTCAGGGCTGGAATAGACACCTAGGTCGGGGTGCCCAATGCATAGGGTGGGCATAGACCCAGATCAGCTGCTCAATGGGTAGAGCAGAATCTGGCCTTGAGCCCTGACGTTGCATGAACACTTCATGTCTCCAGAGCCCCGCTCCGTTCCCCTCATCAGCTGCATTGGCGGTCACTGATTAGCCCCATTTTACAGACGGGGAAGTTGGGACTAGAAAGGGCATGTTCACAAATGCCCTTCGTGCCTGCTAACGCCCGGGTACCAGAAGCCCTGAAATACAATTCTGCCTAAAAACCCACAGATCTGCAGGGAACCGTTGTCTTTGGGCTTCATTCGAAAAGGACAATCACCTGTTAATCCTGACCCTGTATCTGCTCAGCACCCAATCAGTCAGATACCCCATCAGCCCTGCATTCATTAATTCTGCCTTCCCCCGACCCTGTACATACCCTGCTCTGTAGCCTTGTATCAGTTCCTCACCCCCCTTCTCCCATCTGTCCTGCACATCTGCAGCAAACTCCTGCTCTGTAAGCTTTTTGTCCCCCCAAAGGTGCTGGGAAGGAGGTAGGGGCCTCGTCTTTCCCAGACCAGAGATTGGAGTAGTGGTTCTCCACTTTTTGTAGACCCCAGGCACCCCTTCA